GCCACCCCCCTTATTGCGCGTGCACGGTCGCACTTTATGGAGCTGTGTGTGTCATGTTTCATTTCCTGCCAGCCCGCAGGAGGTGGTCAAGGACACAACTGGCATCAGGGCTCATTTGGTGATGTGATACAAGGCTTGGAAGAGGGAGCAACAGAACTATGAAGTCCAACAACAGTTTTTGGGCCCAATTTAAAAATGCAAACTGCTCAGTATAATTCAGTGCAGTTCGACACAATTGCAACCTATAGTCGCGATAAACATGCGTGAAAGGATTTTTTTTTTGATTTTACATGCCGTTCCAAGATCAATCGACCCACAAGGCCACAAATTTTGTAAAGCCGGCCAATTGCACTAAATGTCTTCCTGTTGGGCATTTTATTGAAAACGACCAGCTCCCCTCGACCTTCTGGACAACGCAACACAAATGATGCTGACAAAGCAACAGGCCGCATTTAACCAGTCATCAAACCCACCTTGGAGTAAAAGAACACCTCCGAGTAAGCTTTCCTTTATGTATTGGCCAGAGGGAAAATTGGGAATAATCTCCTGCATTATCGTCCGCTTCCTTGTTTGGAAACTTGATGTGATTTGGCGAGTTTATACTCACTCGTCTGCTTTGAATTTTATAGCCAATGCGTCACATTAATTGAGGCTGCGTAATTTAATTCTCATTCACTCTTCTGGAAATGCATTGTTGAGATGGTGAAAGCCGACCTCCCCCTCCCCCCTCCCATATACGCGACAAAGGTTGGTGTTGAACCAGACGCAAAGGGCCAGTCAGTTGTCACACAACAGTGGCAAACAGGAAATGATGCCCCCCCCCCCCCCCCCCGCCCTAAATCAATCAATCACTTTAAAAAAGCCATTTGAGCTGAAGGCTAACTGACTCAAAATGTAGCATCCCAGCCCTTAAATGGTCTCTCTGGGATTTTGGGACCAAGGATGGAGGCAAGAGGATGAAATGAGCATTAAGACGAGGTTACTTTCAGAGCGAGTCGGAAGGCTACGAGCACTCACGAAAAGGGAAACGGCAAAACTGCTGTGATATGAATCCGGGAGGAGACTACTGAGCATGTCATAGCAAATTTTTCCCTATTCAAGGTCATTCTTTGATGCTCTTTGTGACTTCAACCTTCCATCTTTATCCAGGCAGGTTTTTTTTAAGTTCATCATAGAACCCTAACATACTTCCATCCATCCATTTTCTGAACCACTTTATCCTCACGAGGGTCGCAGGGCATGCTGGAGCCTATTTCAGCCGTCTACGGGCAGTAGGCGAGGGACACCCTGAACCGGTTGCCAGCCAATCGCAGGGCGCACAGAGACGAACAACCATTTGTGTTCACACTCACACCTAGGGACAATTTCAGAGTGTTCAATCAGCCCGCCATGCATGTTTTGGGAATGTGGGAGAAAACCGGAGTACCCGGAGAAAACCCACGCAGGTCCGGGGAGAACATGCAAACTCCACACAGGGAGGTGGAATCAAACCCGGTACCTCTGCACTGTGATACTAAGCAGCATTTGGGAAGGACATCATCATCATCATCACACTGGCTTCCACTAATGCAAGCCAGGCCGCTCCAACCGCCATGTTGGCTCCAGCCTGCTTATAGAGGGAAGTGAGCTCTAAGCCCAAAAACATCTGGAGCCAGTTTAATTCTGATCTGTTTTTTTTTTCTTTTTTCAAGCGCATCGTAATGATCTCACCATTCGGCATAGTGAACATTGGCTTCCCTCCTGGGATTGTCAGTAAAAGACAAGCTCCCGAAACATGCAACGAGCGGAACATTGACAGCCATTTTAACATTTCTGGCTACGGAGAGCGCCACCATGTACTTCCGACGGAGTCGTGACTGGCCTCCATTTTGTGGCGACAGAACAGAAAGTGCTGATGGGGAGAAAAGCGGATAAATGATCCATTGACAAGTAAACACAGCAGGGAGATTGAACAAACGGGCTCAGAGTGTCACGGAGGGATCGGAGCCAAAAATCTTCAGTGCATTCATCTGACCGCTCACAATTTTTTTTGTTTCAGGGAAATAGTTTTTATTGTGCTATGAAGCCAGCACTCATCGTTTTCCCTCACGATTGAAGTGTTCCGTACGCGAGTCTAATCATTCCTCGGCTTAACGTGGTTTTTCTTCCATATCTAGAACATTGCTCATGAAAATAGACTGTTCATTATCGGAAGTCTTGGCCCTGACGATGACCTTTAATGCACAGCAGACCAGGCTGAATGCTTGATGAGGTTGGGGGAGGTGCGCCATTAGGGAAATTACGCAAGAGGTGCGATGGAGAAGGAAGGACGGAGACAAGCTTTTGTCTACCACTTGTGCAGCTGGAAACCACAACCAGCACAGGCACCATCTAACCTGGGAGGCTAACATTGGGTCAGCTGGGCTCCTACAAGCATCGTTTTAAGATATCAGATATGCAACAGCTGATATGAACACGTGCAACATAAGCCAAGCCCACTAAATAGTCACAAAATCTTACATCACGGTGGCTTGACGGTTTTTCAACATCAAACGGGGAGTGTGCCGCTCGGACCTTCTGGTTTACATGTGAATGATGGCACATGTGCAAATAGAGCAGCAGGCTTAAAGGCCTCCTTTGTTGGATTCTTTCTGCTGCAGTTGTCTGGAAAAATGGGAGCACACATGCTTTCTGCAAAAACGCACTAGTGTGAGCAAGCAATTTTGTGGGCCCAAGCTCTGATGTCTTTTTTTTTAATAGGATGGGGTGTTTTACATCACTGAAGTGTGTGTGTGTGTGTGTGTGTGTGTGTGTGTGTCTTGAGGGTGCCTGCACAGAGGTTGTGGCGGCGTGTGGCAAAGCTGGTCAAACCAGTGCGTGCGCGTGTGGTGGCAATGGGATCAAATCAGTGCACGGGCCAAGGATAATCAAACCAGGGTGAGAGTGGGTGCATGCGCCTGCAGGGCGTGCGTGACAATGACAAAGATGGTCACATCAATGTGTGTGTGTGCGCATTTGAAAAAAAGGGGGGGGGTGGCAATTTCCTCTACAACTGTCTCTGTGTGTTGGGTGGGGGTGGGGGGTCAAACATGCCATCACATTAACATTCCCACTGAGAGACACAAGCAAGACACGCACCTTGGCGGGTGGAGACGTTCTTCTCGTTGGCCGCAGTGAGAACCACCTGCGGGTGGCTCTGCTCCAGCTGGAAGAGCTCGTCCTTGCCCACGCGCAGACTCTTGCCAGACTTCATGGTGCCGGAGGGCCCGGACGGCGCCAGGTACTTGCCACCGCAGTCCCTGAACGCCACCTTGCCGGAGCGAAACTCCAGCGTGTAGCCGGTGTTCTTGTCGGTGGCGGCCACCAGCGCGCCGTCGTTCCTCAGGAAGCGGTTGTCGGAGGTCTGCAGGTGGTAGCGCTGCTCTCGGAAGACCAGCGTGATGGTGGAGTCCACGCCCCACGGGACGTCCCTGTCGATGGCGATCTCGTCCACCTTGGAGCTCAGGTGCGCGTAGCGTTTGCGCGTCAGGCTGAAGACGTTGACCTGCGGGTGCATGGCGATGTGCACGCTCCATTTCTCCGCCACGGACGCGGTCTGGGCGAAGCAAATGATGCGGTCCTCGGTTCCGCCCAAGTAGCGGCCGAAGAGCTCCGATTGCAAGGACCAGCGGCCGTCGTCGTGCGCCGTGATGATGAAGCGGCACTCGGGGCCCGGAACCTCGCTGTCGGCGGTCACGTTGCCGTCCTTGTCGGTGGCGATGTAGCGGCCCAGATGTGACTTGAGGAAGAACACGTTGCCGCTCGGACTCTCGCCGCTGTGCTCCAGGGTCCAAATCTGCTTCTTCTTCATGCTCGAGGCCGAGGCGTTGATTTTGAAGCCGAACGTCTCGGCCGTCAGGTATTTGTTACCGGAGTTGATGAGACCGAACTGGATCTGCAGCATGTCGCTGGTTCCGTTGGCTGCGCCGTTAGTCGTCATGGTGGCTTCGGTCCGGTTCTTCTGCCCGCGAGGAAAATCTGATCAGTTTTGTCTGCTGGCCTGTGAAAGGGTCGGATGCTGCTGCGGTGCCTCGCGTGCTTCTCTTTGTTTGAGGAGTGTGTCCGTGTACGCGCGTCCCCGGTCCTCCGCCTGCCTCATCAGCGCAAGCCCGCCGCCACGGCTGCAGCCTATATAAGCATCCGTGACGTCACCGACAAACCACGCCCACCGTGGCCCTTGGACAACCGCAGCTTGGCAAAGGGAGTTGCAATTTACGGTACCACTCTCCATTCGACTTTCCAGGGGTTGCAAAAGTACTTGAGTAGCAGTACAAATTACTTGTGTCCCCCCCCCAAAAAAAGTCAAAGCACAGAGTCAATTCCTTGATATAAGTCAGAAAAAAAGTACAGACTCTGAAAGAAAATATACAAGCGGCACTGCAAATGTTATAGTGGCCTTTTATTTTGGGCAGCCTATGGTACACCTGCACAGTAGATGTGATGCACCATATGAAGAAAATGGTGGTCACACCGGATATTGACTGGACCCTGGACTCACTTTCACCGTTTTTTTCTTCCAACATTTGATAGAAGTGTGTCTTGTGTGAGCATAAAAATGTCTTTGAGCTTTGCTCTTTGCTCATGAAAAATGGGACCAAACACAAAGTTGCTCCATTTATATTTTTGTTCAGTATGAATCTAGATGTAAGCACAGATAATTAAATGTATTATTTTCTGAAAACGGTTTGATTTTTAGCATATCTATATATTATTGCCATTTGTATAACTACTTTTATCATTATTTCCACGAATATTACAATTTCCTAAATTGTTTAGTTTTTTTTTTTAAACACGGATTTCATCCCCCCTATGTGCCAATTGATCAAAACAGGCCCTGCATTGAACTGACAGCACAACATTCCTTTTTACTGTCTACTTTTGTACATCACAAAAAATATGAACGCAACGTTTTTGTTTTCTCTCCCACTTTTGTGCTATAAGAACAATGATGACCCATTTGCCCGTTTTTTTTTTCTTTTTCATTGTCATGTGTTGTGTCTCTCACATTTAAAAAAAATGGTTCGGATGTTAAGTAGGAAGTTTCATTTTTTTCTCTTGATATAACGGAAATAGTGAATTTGATGTGGATGTCATGGTCGTTGGCCATTTAGAATAGGCGAAGTTAAGAATTTGAAACGGCACGCTAGTTTGTTTTTTTTTTTTTTCTTATATCAACTTTCTTGGAGCCTCTGATAATATCACGCCGCCTTCTCTTACTGGTCAGACGGACTCTCAAGTCATGAGGATGTGCATCCTCACACAAAGCTCCATTCACGGTTTCGGCACGCACATCAGAGGGAAGCAGTGAGCCGGCTCTTGTAAACAAAGAGGCCAAACAGATCCCGGCGTGCATCCGTTCCGTGCGTGTGTGTGCACGACCGTGCAATCAAACACGCGTGCAAGAAGCATTTCAAGGCATATTTCCCTCCAAGTGAAAGTACAGATGCTCCCCAGCCTACCTTCAGCTTCGGGAGTGAGCACGGAAGACTTGAGAACCTTGATTGGCAGCCTGCACCGTATTGATGTCCTCGTTGCAATGCAGAGGAAGTCTCGGACCAGCCGAAATCAATGATCTCAGCTAAAACTAGCTTGCTTTTAAGTCGAAAACGTTCTGTCAGCAGTGCTCCGTGACCTCCGACCCATGATAAACAGAGTGAAATGAATGCCATATCATGTTTAATCCTCACATTGTAAATGGGGGTGTAATGGCGTCAAGACGTTATTTTCCCAAATCCGGAATTAGACTCCAAATTCTGTGATGGGGTGAAGTTATGGCCAAGGGAAGAAAGCATTAAAAAAACAATCCCCCCCTATCCAGCGGATTACACGCAGTCCAAGAGGAAATTCCAATGAAGACTTCTGTCTAGTTCCAAAGTGGCCCTTATAAATCAGCCATTATATGGACAAAAGTATTAGTACAGCTGTTTTTTTTTTTTCACAGAAGAGAAAATATGGAGTTGGTCCCTTCGTTACGGCAGCAACTGTTTCTACTCACCTGGGGAAGGATTAGATTCCAATAATGCATTTGGGGGACAATTTTTTTTTACATTCCTTCAAAGATGTCAGATGGTCTTTCAGCAGCAACTGTTTCTCCTCATCTGGGGAAGGATTAGATTCCAATAATGTATTTGGGGGACAATTTTTTTACATTCCTTCAAAGATGTCAGATGGTCTTCTATATCCCAAACCGTACACATGATTGTAAATGTATTACTAAAGACACACTGCGCCCTGTAAATGACATCTAGAAGAAGGAGAAGCGGGTGACGTCCGCTTTGCGAGGTGCCGTTTCACAAACTGGGCGAGCCTGCCTGCCTGCCGGGGCGTTCAGGCCACGCACACACAGTGCACAGTGCACACACGCTGACACACTTGCTGCACGCTCGCCACACCCGCGGATGGCGCAGCACTGCATTGCATCCTTTTTTTTTTCCTCACGCACCTCTGAGTGTGGACCAACTGCAAATAATTTTATTTTATAATTTTTTTTTTCAATGTTCTTCTATTTGCTAAACTATGATTGCCTGTCTTAATGTCACCGCTTCCTAATGACCACATGACAAACGTACGGAGATGCAACTTTGGAGCGTTGCAATGAGATGGAAATCTGAAGCGCACTTATTGCGGATAAATAAATGGCAGCGTGAGAGAAGTCGACCGATGACCAATTTCTTTTGTTTTGTGCCATTGTGAGGAGTTCCAAGGAGTGGGAGCAGATGAACTGAGCATTTTCTTCCCCAAAAAAAACTCACAGCTGTTGTTTCTATTGACTGTATTGATTGTATTAATGGTTGCACTTAGGCCTCTCCTCTCTTCTCTGTGTCCTATGTCTTGGTGGTTCATGTTTCCACACGAGCAAGGAAAGAAAAAAAACACATGGCGGGAATTCATACCGAAAGCAGAAGCGTTCTCGAATATACAAATCATACAGCTTTCTTCGGGATCAGACATTTTATCACCCGGAGTGACAAACAAGTGGCACCAGTTCAATGTGAGACCATGACCAAGCTGCAGCTGTCTAACTCCGTCTATCTCAAATCAATCTATCTCCGGTGTCTCACAAATGGAGGACACTCCTCACATTTATTTCAATCTTTTTCTTTTTATTGGGGAAAACACGTAAGAAATGACACTTTGCGACAGGCGAACGTCGTCATTGCACCGCTTATATGAGTGTAAATTCACAGTCCGAATAACTTAACACACACCCTAAAACGTTGGCAACAAAAGTGGGGTCTGCACCCGTGAGTGTTACAAAGGATCAAGTGTGAATGTCTTCAAGGGTAAAATGTCTATTGAGGTCAATGCGAGCGTGGATGGGATGCTTGTTGTTTGTCTATGTGTCTCATGCAGTTAGTTGGCGACCAGTCCAGGAAGTACCTGGTGTCTGGCCCAAAGTCAGCTGTGCGACCCCTGACCCTCATTTGGACATTGGACGAGCGCTCGGGAAAAGGGATGGATAGATGTTTTCGGTGAGATTTGAGACTAGGACAGACAGACAGACAGATCGGAGTACCACTCGTATGTACCTATCGAAAAATGTTTAAAGTTGTATAAGGATGTCAAAGCAGCTTCATCGAAATCGAAGTGTGTGTCTACGTGCATCAGGGTGCAATCACAAAGGAATTTGCGTTTAGCCCGCGAGTGTGTCTGCACACACAGCTGCAGCGCAACCATGGGCCTCCTCTCCTTCAAACAAAGAGCTGGAAGCCGGAGCAACTGGGTTACCCCTCACACTCGCCATTCTTCTCAATAGGAGTCGGGTCAAAGGTCACAATGGAAGCAGTGTGTGTGTCCATGCAAGTGTGCGCTTTGGCCTTGCCTCCCCCCCTTTCTAGGTTCTCTTATTGTCATGGCAACAGGAATACATAGCTTTAGCTTTTCCCCTCTGTTTAACACATTATGAGGGTTGTGTGTGTGTGTGGGGGTGTGTGTGTGTGTGTGTGTGTACAGTCCTTCCTACATTTCCTCTGAATGACTATTAACTATTTTCCCTCTCTCTCGAAAATGCTGAGACAGTGGGTCAGTGGGTCATTGGGTAATCTCTCTATGGGGGGCAAATCAAACCCAGAATTCCCAAACACAAATTACATTTCATGTTAAAGGGACACACACAAGTCAGGTCCATAAGGACAAGGCCTAATAAGATGTGTATTGTTTCACTGAAGACAAGAATAGTGTAGTATTTAATAGGTCGTAAGTGTCATGACTGCAGAACATTCTAAAATGGTTTCACGCTTCTTCTTAAACATCTTTAAATAAAGCAAATCATGTATGCGTCGAGAATGTAAATGTTGATAAAGACCATCGCATTTTGATTGTCATCAATACGATATACATCTTGATTTATTAACAGAGCATCCAGTTCACGCAGCTCATGTTGCGTTAGCATACATACTAATGTTAAGGTTCCAGAGTTGTGTGCAGTGTGTAGAAAAAAAATATATCTAGATTTATTTAAAGATATGATGTGAAAAGACATCCCCATTTTTGCTTCAGCTTTGATGGTTCTGTTGGGTCTGTGCCCGCCTTGTGCTTCCATTTTAGTTCAAGTCAGCAAATATGGTTTCTTCCCTCCCTGAAAAAGCACCGCAGTTGAATGATTCTTGTTGCTATGGTGACTGCCAGTAGAAACACAGAAAAAGGGGGTCTTTAGTACAGTACCTCACCTTCCTTGGGAGATGCCATTTGTGGGACTGTTTTACTTTTTTTTTTTTGAAACAACAATCACTGGGAAGCGCCCTCGGGTTATATTTGCAGAACCAGGAAGTCAATCTGACACTAAAGTGATTTAAAGAGGGTAGTCATGGCCAAGAGGAAACATTTTGAGGATCACTCCAAATGTCTTTTTTCATTATATTGGTACCAGGATGTAAATTCATATTCAACATTGTGGCAGAAAGCTGCCACAGAGCACAAATCCTAAGGTCCTAAAAACGAATTATTGCATATTGTGGGCAAATAAAATGCAAACAAATACTGCACAGCTACAAAAACAGACACTCATTATAAACCTGCATTATAAAAACAATAACACCCCCCCCCCCGACACACATTGTCATCCACAGCAATAGTCTGGGGGAACACATGCTACCAGACATCCCTGTTGACACACAGACATGTATGAACACATGCACAAATGGTGTAAAGGTCATCTCAAATGGGACAATATATAGTTAAAATCGGGCGAAGTTGAACACAGGCGACAGGAAGTGTCAGTTCTTCGTATGGGTCGTGTCTGGTTCATTGATTGCAATTTTTTAATGGGGGAAGGGGGAGTGTACAGGGGTAGCACTCTGCTGTTATCATGTCCAAAACACTTTTCACTAAGTATGTCATCGTGTATGTTTCAAGTTCAGAATTCAAAACTGTGGCGCCTCTTTGTCCTCACTCGCAAGGCAATTCAACACACGAATAAAAGGTGAGACGACTGCCTTCGCAGTTCTTTGAAATCTTGCCTTGCAACCCTGTATGACGTCTCTGCTCACGAGTAGAAGGGATCGCAATTTGGATTGGAATAATCTTGACACACGACGATGACAACGACTTGAAATGTAGCAGGCGCGACAAAAGCCATCAGGCGGCTATAAGAAGCCTGAGCATGCTGCTGCTTTGATTGCCCACATGCAAACACGCCATGCTCGAGCGATTCGTTACAGTCGCAGCACGCTTGGCTGAACAAAGAAGTCCACTCAGGGGCCGTCACCAGGCGGGTTCAAAGCACAGGTGATAAAATCCAGGCCCGGGGGCCAGATCAGGCCCGGCCCATCATTTGATGTGGCCCGCGAAAGCAAATCAGGTCAGCTTTCAGGGTTCTGGCTAAAATCTGGAGCAAAACTGTGTGTATGGGGGGGCTAAGAGTATTTGGAGAAAATTCACACAAAATACAGGAAGAACCACAAAAATTAAAGACCTGTATGACAAAAATGAAAACGTGGGCAGAAAACTTTATTAGAAAAACACGTTTCGGCAGACGTATGCTCAACTTTTTTTTTTTTTTAGCCAGAAAACTTACTTATAAACTGGAAATTGAACAATAATTTCAGAACTTTTTGTTATTGTAAACATATGCGAAAAACAAGCCGGCGTCCATGGTTCAGTGTGAGAAGGCCGAGTGCGAGCGTGTATCTCTTCAGATGTCGTACAGTTACTTATGCGTTCCTTCGGGCAAACGCAAAAAGGACTGACATCGGATCAAGGTTGCCGGAAAGCGGGCGTACCAAGAAAACGTTCATTAAAACAAACAAACAAAAAATAAAGAGGCTCCGAAAACAGGAAGTGGATCTGTAGAGAGGGTGAATGCAGCTGACAGTTACCTTGTGTGAGTGTTATAAAGGCCTGAAGTAGCGGTGGGCGGGCCCGTAGTGCATGGGCATGTCAATCATGTTCAGATTTAGAGGGTGCTGGTCGGCATGCCGATTGTGGTGGTGATGGTGATGGTGGTGGTGGTTATTGTTGTTCAAAGGGAGCAAGTTTGGCAGCGGGGGCACGTAGGGCGCCGGGGGTAACGGGTTGATCATGTACATCTGGCCTTGGGGCAGGCCGGGAGGGTAATGGGCGTGAGGGGGCACGAAGAGGGGAGCCTGCACCGCTTGGGGGTGACGGGGAGCCGGGGGAGGAGGGTTTTCGGGGGGCGGTCCCACACGAGGACGCTTGCTCTCTTGGACGTCCTCCGGGGGCGGGCCGACTCTCTTTCCCAATTGATCTGAGCCAAGAAGAAACCCGAGCAAGTGACCGAGGGTCTCGGTTGCCCCTGGCAAATCGCAGACAGGCTTACCTGCAAACTTCTTATTCAGCTGCACCTCTCCCTCCTTCTGGATCTCCTGAATGTTTCGCTCGTCATCTTGCTGCAGGAACACGCCAAGATACAAGCGCGACGTTAGCGAGTGAGCCACATCTTCGCAGTTTCCTCTAAAGTGAAATGAATTTGTTCCGGTAGGCTGCTCCACCTCTGATTTGTGTGCAGCGGGGTACCTTGACTTGACAGTAAATCTTGCGCTCAACAAACACCCATTTAAAAAAAAAAACAAAAAAAAAAAAAACCTCAAACTAGAACTAAACCCCCCAAAAATCTGAGATAAAATGAAGCATTGTCCCCACAAAAAAAAAAAGATAAAAATGCACCCTAAAAACTATTAAATACAGAAAACTGTCCAACAAATTCAAATTCATCAATATAATTCATCACCCAGCCCTAGCTGACATTGGTAAATTTAAGACGACAAGAGCATAAAACACTAATGCCAAGAAATAATCCCACTATGAGTGTATTAATTATCAGTAAAGTCTTAAAAGAGCCCAACACAGTTCAAAGCAAAAAAAGCATCTCTGTTATCCCTCGCCAAGTATTTTGGGCATTTTTTGGCTCCGCCTTAACGACAAGCAGCACGGGCGCTAATTGCTACCGTTGGTTGCCAGCGGTACTGGAGCCAGGTCACTGTGGGCCTCCACAGGGGCCAGATGGTCTGGGTCAAAGTGCGTGGGGGCGTTTGCGCACAATTTAGGTGCGGGGACACGATGTCCGCGAACAGAAGGGATTCAAAGGCCAAGCGCACAAGTCTGGAACGATAAAACGCGGGTTCGTTGTACGCTGACGCACAGGCTGATTTTTACAACATTCATCTCCTCTGCGTGGCCCTATACCTAACGGTCCGTGGCGGGGTAATTGGGAACCGGTGACGTAATTCACAGTCGACAAAAGTATACTCTGTGCGCGTACCGTGGGGTCGGTCCAGAGGGAACACTTGCGGCAGTGGCGGCAGGGAGCGCCTGGCGAGCGGGCGTGCTGGCAGAAGTGGTTGTATCCGGTGATGGGCTCTCGGCAGAGGTAGCACATGAAGCCGCCGCAGCGACACGACATGCGGTTGCAGCCCTCCGACTTGACCAGGCCCGTGCCGCACTTGACGCACTTCCTCACCCGGGCGGCCGTCATGCGCTCCTCACTGAGTGAGCGCGAGAGGACACGAAAGCGTTAAAAAAAGATAAACAAAAAGCAACTCTCGTACAAAGGGAAGAGTGAGAGATTATGTTGTAGTGCTTTCTTCCTTCTGGAGTGACAGGCAGTGATCTGCTTTCTGTAATTTCCAAGAGTAAGTTCCATTTTTTTTTTCGATCAATGGGAAGAGGTTAGCTTTTCCATCAAGTATGAAATTAAACAACCAAGTAAATCTTTCACCGGCCCGTTTCGGAAACTGTTAGCGAGCCACTTTTGCACATTTGCCGCCCTTTTCCGTAACAGTTGGGCTCCTTGACGGTTCACTCTGCTTTGTTGATGGAGCCGAGGTACGCCTCCTGCCGTTTGTCCAACCCACATAACGTGTTTGGAAGACTATTAACGGCATTAGCCTCCGTTGGAGCCTCAGATAAGTAGTAACGTGAGTATGCTGAAATTTGTTGTCTCGCGCTAGTAATCAAATCGATCCGCAGATGTTTCTACCAGGCCATTTCCTGTCTCTGTCATCACCAGGAAGTAGGAAGAGCATGCTCAATGGCTCAAAACAGGAAGTTCGGCCTGGCGGGCCCACGGGAAGCAGCCGACTTCCTGTAGTGTTGTCTGGGAAACAGAGCAATTTACCCAGCGTCCTTTTTGGCGTGTCGAGGGGGAAAGGATGGAGGATTAAAAGGGACTGAAGAGGGTGGTCCCCCCACCCCCATACGTTATCCGTGGGTTCCCACTTACATGAGCACCCTCATGCGGATCTCGTCTTTCTCCAGGACTTGCTCGCATGTCTTCCCCACATGCAGTTTCCATTGCACGTGGCACTTTCGACAGCTTTCCTACAGGTCGAGACACACACACAAAAAAAATATACAATTGTTGAATTTGAATCGGAAATGTTTTTTCATTTGGACTTAAACCAGAGGAAAAAAAATATCAGTCTGCACTGCAGACACCGCAAGGTGTGGCCCTGCGGTGTGCACACGTGGGGCGGGATTTGCCCTTTTACCAAGTGCACGGTTGCCTAGAAACTGCAAATCCATCCTCTGAGCTTCAGCTCCAGCCTGCAGAGCATCATTCCGTGCGCATGCTTAAGCTAATGCTAATCCATAGCTAAGTGGAGGCAGGCATCATCAATATTTATGTCATCGCTCATCTACCTTGATGACTGGCTGGGAGGAGGGAATTGCGTGCATGTGCTCTTTCAGCCAAGGTCGGATGGAGGACAGAGGAGGCGGCAGACATGACATGCTGCAGAAATGTACTTTGACAAAAAAGGGTGGCTAACAAAGGGGGGTGGTGGTAAGAGAGTGTGTGTGTGTGTGTGTGTGTGTGTGTGTGTGTGTGTGTGGTTAACCATTGCCCCCTACTGTTCAACATTTACCAGAAAGCATAGCTGCTCACAATTTACAATGCGGCCCACGTCGGTTCTCTCAAGCCTCGGCTTGTGCCGCTCCCCAGCTTCTGTT